TAGCTGTTGTCTCGGGTGATCAGGACCTTTTGTCGCAAACCTAGCGAGCGGAATGTCAGCGAGAGTCGGCCGAGGATAAAAAGGGCATCTCCGGCAGCGTTATTCCGCGTCGTCTAATATCTGATCGCCGTGGACCGTGTTTGCGCGCGAGCGTTGGTGCCGTTGCACCGCATCAGTATAAATCTTGCGTCGCCACCCTGCAGCACACTGCAGCACACTGCAGCGCGCTGCATACACTGCACACCTTTCACTTCAGGGCGCACGTGTACACACACCGGCTGTCCTCAGGGTAAGGTCGCCGGTTGCAACGGCACAGAGAGAGCCCGGTTTCTCTCTCTTTCTCTCTCTCCCTCTCCCTCTCTTCCTCTCTCGGTGTGGGTGCTAATTTCGATCGATCGGTGAACGGGCCACACGGTGAATAATCTCGACGTGTCGCGGGAAACCGGTGTTGCAGAAATACACCGATCGAGATTCCGATCGTGTTTGCCGGCGAAAAACGCACGCGACTACCAGGGCCGCCTCCTCTTTGTCTATCTCACAATCGGAGTCCTGCGAGTGCTTTGATCCTGGCCATTGTTGACATTAGAAGCGACTGATCACAAGGTACGGTGGGCGGAATTGTTTGCTAAGGGTTCAATGAACAGTGCATGCGATGTCGCATAGGGTGGTAGTTTAGGGAATGTATCTGTGAGACGAGCATCGAAACTAAATTTTGTGAGATATTAGCTGCATCTTTTTAATTGTACATTAAAAACAGAAGGGGAACTATGAAGTGATCCCAGCACTTTTTGATAACAGAAGAACCAAATTGTACTTCGATTTAGAAGAAACATATAGCAAAAAACACGTTTAGTAGATTATGCATAAAGCCATTCTGCAAAGTAGAAATATTTGGCATAAACTGCAGGAGATAGAAGGCAGACAGACACTTCATTCTTCCAAAAATATTTCCATCAAGTGTGAAGCATCGTCAGTGATTAGAATCTGCAGGTTAATTATTACTAAGGGTTTCTAAGGATAGAAGAGAGTATCGACAACATACGGAGGCATTAATGCGGCCCTGACGAAGCGGATCGAGGCTTCTGGCCGCGAGCTTGATCGAGTACCGCTCGAGCGAGCTGATGTATTGGCGGAGACAGTTAGGGGATAGTCTTTTCTTGGCAGGGGATAGTCATCAGCGAGAAGCCTGAATGGGAATCTTAAGATCCTGCGGAAGTCTTAGGACGTGTCGTATAGCTACGATCCGGTATTGATCTCCTGGTGAAGATTGATAGAACAAACGAGACCTAAATTCCTACGAGCTCAGTCGAGCACTGATTTATTTGAAACTGTCGATGAACACGTCCGTGGTAGAAAGTTCCTAGCCCGCGGTGGAAGAACCGTGAGGAATTAACTGGAACTGTTTCCCGGATCCGTTCGTTAATCCTGCTTCCGCTAGGTTAATCAACCTGACGTTTTAAGTATCGCGGACTAAATGGATCTAGCTCGAGCTGGCGTTCAAGAAATTGGAGGTGTCAACCTGGTCCGGGGATTCGTAAATCCTAAAAGAGGATTGTCAGGTGCGACTTACGTGAGAGGTCCTTCAGATTTTTGAAAAATGTGGTGATAATTGGACAAAACTTCGTCGATAAACGACCAGGTTTTAGATCGCTATAACGTTGTTTGCAAGAATTTGTGTAAAGCTATAAGATAGCGAAAGAACATATCCCACGACTCATTCCGTTGACTTGCATTATCCTGTGTAATAACAAAATTGTACGGTATGCACGAACAGTATGCCAGCACTGCACGAAGCAGGTTGCAAATGTGAGAATACGACTGAATTATAGCAAAGAGTTATGGACGGGCAAATTTGCCTGGAAGAAAACTCTCGTCCGGCTAAGAGCACGATTTACCCAGGATCTACGATTTCTCGCGGGTCCGACAGTGGGGAGATCGTCCGAACGAGCCCTTAAGGGAGTTATGGACTGGTTTGTAGAAAAGCAGCGGCTGAATAATGCACAGCACCGTTAAGCGCCAGAGAAATCGGATAGCGTAATCGCGATTCAACGCGGACCTCTGACAAACACGACTCGGGTCACAGGGAAAGAGAGAGCGAGAACGAGGCCTATGCAAATTTTTCCTTGCACCGTGTACGCTCAACCTTTCCGTGTCGCGTACAAGGATACACCGCCGGCCTGTTGTTGCGCGGAGATTCCACGAAACCGGCAAACAATACGCGAGCACAGATCCGCGAGCAAAAAATCCGTAACCACCCGCACTCTCGAAGCCACAGATATCTTCGACGCTGAAAACATGAATGAGAATTATCGTCGAAGGTCGCGAATCGGGTGTTGCGCTAAAGCGTAGGCTCCAGTGATTAAGCGGCTGTAATTGCTTCATTAATAAAACTGTTCCAGCGGCGTTCGCGGCGCGTTCACCGATTTACCGGATGTTTGCGATCTGATGGAAATTTTTCTCAATATTGAACTGTGGAAATTCTCATTTCCTACCAGCAGATAGAATAACAGCTTGAATTACTGCTTCAGAGAAGAAAGGATAAAAAGACTTTAGATCAACTAGAATCAATAAAGAAAGAAGAAAGTTCATGTTGTTTCTTGCAACAAAACCGATCACGATTTCGATTAGGATTTTCGTGAAAAAAGTATTAGCAGTGCACGTCCATTTCCTCTACAGTCGAACTTTGGTCTAGCGAAAGCGATATTAATTATTGACCCGATGAAATGTTCAGCGAGACACGATTTTTTTAAGTAGCATGAGGAAATGTAACGATTGCCCAATAAAGGATGCATCGCCATCGACAAAAGTCCGAAGAACTTTCAACAGGAAAAAGAGTTCGAGGTAGACGCGGAAGATGGTCGTTAGTTGTTCACGGTAATTTGGCGTTCTATTAATATACCTGAAATCAAGCGAAGAGCCGTAATTCCTTCTGCCAAGCCCATGTATGACCTAATCGTGATCAGCGTGCGTGCACGAGCGTCGAAGGAAGAAGGAACGTGCTCGGTTCTTAATGCGACGCCAGTTGTTCACGAATTTCATACGCAGATCTTTTCGGCTCGCGATCGTCGTATCCTTCTCGCTCTGTACCTCATTTTTTTTCTCCACTTGCTACCGGAATTTTTCGCATACCAGGATACATTAGATGTAACGTGACGAACGCTTTCACTCGCGCGAACATCGGAGAACTCGGAAAGTTTTCGCGCTCGCTAGATTCGAAAACGAACTTAGAGGAGCTTCCTTTCTGCTATCTTGAAAAATGTGGAACGAGGGCAACCGGGAGAAATATTCGCACGTCGCTATTGTTCCGTGACCTACCTTCTTGAATGTGACATTAAGATGCAAATTATTTACGTAAGATTGTAACTTAATTCGAACCTGAGACGTCGGAACATGAATACGTTTCGATTTGACGATCTATTGATGGCTTTCTACTGATTCGGTAATTGATGAACGCATATCCTCGTATGAAAGACGAGAACATCGAAAATTTTGAAGCAGTAATTTCGAATTAATCTTTTATGACTCCGTGGAACAACAAAATTAAGATGCGTTTGTTTGAACATTTTCTAGAGACTGCAGATGCGTTCGGAGGAACTGCATTTTCTGTAGCGAACGCTCGAGGATCGAATTTAAAAGACAATTGGTCGACGTTTCCTCTGTCCCGCCGGCACAATGCGATCGCTAATCCGCGTTATCTATTCTGCGACATTACATAACATTACATAGGCCGATAGGTGCAGGCAACGCGGTGCAATATCGCCGGGTGTATTGTTTCAAACGGTGTCTGTAATTCATACCGGACCAACGTCTCGTCCAGCTCCAAACGAGCGGCCTTGTAACATTGTAAGACAGCCTGTAGGCCTGTTCGAATTTCGATTGCGAATATTACGTGTCGCCGGCAATCGAATACTTCGCATATTAGTTCTGTCCGTGTGGCAGGGAAAAAACGAAGAAGCAACAATGGTAGGAGGAGAAAACCGACGAAAATATCGGGGCAGAATAAACACGGACGAATGAAACCGAGAAGTGGAATGAAAAAGGTCGGCTAAATCGAGATTCCCGATGACTCACGATGCGTCGCATACGCATTCCATTGTATAATCAATCTTTGTCTGGTCGCGAAAAAAAAATCGTGCCGGTGCAGGACTCCTCTTATGCAACGTTCGATCAAAAGACACGGTTCTGATTGGGTAACGCGAGGTAGGATTCGACAAACTCGTTCCGGAGCGCCTCGAGAACCGTGATTTTCGAGGATCGAGGACTCTGCGGGCCTCGTTTCGATTTACAAACGCAACGAATTTTATCAAAGTTACGGAAACGTATTCGCGATAAATACAACATTAATTGTTTTCGATATGATACATTCGTACAGGCCATAGTTGCAAGAAGTCCTGTACAATAATTTTATTATTGTAATAACGATCTTCTATTCCTATCACTCACGGAAAATAGGCGTGTCTTATTACAGTGGGCGTGGCTAAACCAATGAAACAGCGGCCGAATTGTATCCGCTATTCTATACTAGCTTGTTGATGCTTGCGAGAGGTGTATTATACAAGGATGATAGTCTATTTATAAGGACATGCAGTGCTTCCTCTTTACATTCCTGCATTGTCAACCTTTCTATGGTCTCTATTATTTTAAGAGACTAGCTAACAGCAAGCAGCTTTGTTCTAATCTCGTCCACGCAGAGATCAAATAAACAAAAATCGTTGACTCATGCTACGATCATGAGATAGTGTCCTCTATAATCTCTTTAGTAGTCTGAAACGATTCAGATGTGAACTTGAGAACGATTTAATCGAAGGACTCAGAAGTTCAATGCTATTTTAGTGGAAAAGTAAAAGACATTTTTATGGTATCGGATAAAATATTGTTCGAGTCTCGCAATTTTGCTTTCTATGAATAATTCAAAGAATATGTGAATATGAAAGAATATGAAATCTCCGCGCGCGCGCGCGTTCATAGGCTTCAATAGTTCAGAGGTATTATTTTTTTAGGATGGTATGAGAATCGCTTAATTATCCTGTACAAGGAATCGCAAGAACTCTTCACGGTATCCAATCAATATTGATGGAGCCTCATAATTTCAATCTCTATGAATAATTCCACGAATGTGTGACCGGTACGAGCATCGTCGGGCCGACTATCACCTGTAAACCCCCTCCAACAGACCGAAGACACCTTGCCGAGCAACCTGAATTTTAAAGATGCTTCGGAACAAGCTGATTGCCCGTTTTTGCCGTTTCTTTCCCAACCCGCGGCTCAATTGGCGATTTCGTGCAGGAACAGTGGCGGCCTAATTGCGCCCAAATTTGTACGGGAGATCAATCTCGCGAAACGGTGGCGAGCCGTTATTCGCGAAATGAAAGAAAGAAAGGGGGAAAAAGCGATGGCAAGAAAGCATCATTGGCAACCACGGGTAGGACAATTGAACCAGAAGTCGAGAGGCGAACGTGGCCGGACGACGTAATTAAATTGAAATTGGCCGTGTTTTACTGTGGCCGGTTAAGTGAATATTCTTATCACGTTGGTGAACAAGCGGTCCTTGCTAAATATTCATCGTGTGTGCCCAGGAGAACGTGGTCCGCCAAGACAGAGAGAAGGAGAGAGTCGGAGGGAGAAACAAGGCGGGTCTCTTCTTGAATGTGAAGGCATTTTACCGCCACACGATTGTGTTCATGGATGGCAGCACGATACAGTCTGAATTATGTTAGCGCGGTGACGCGCGTGTGCCGCAAGCTTTTTCTGCCTGTCCTGACTTCGTTTCGCATCATAACAGCCGCCAGAGAACACTTCGTTTCAACTCACCGTCCGAGGACAACGCCAGTGGCAGCAGGTCACCGGCAGCTTTCAGTTGATCGAATTTTTCTATCAGCAACAGCAACCTGAAACAGCATACGGAGGATCAGCAAATCAGCATTTATAAGTTCGTACACTTATGGCAAAAATAGTTGCACAAAAGATCCTCCACTCGTGTATACTTTAAACAAATCCATCACATTATAACACAGTCAAAGAGAATAAAAGATTTGCAAGTTCTGTATCATGTAAATTTTGCATTGCTTTCAGTCATACATTTTTGCATTTTCTGATATAGCTCACTCTATAATTACGCTCTTTATAAATGTTGCTTTGTACTGGAGGACTATTATCTAAAGAGGCAACAGCTAAAGCATGTTATGCCTCAACCTAACAATTAGGTAGGCAGCGCATGTATATAGTTCAACAATTAAACGTGGACAAGTAGAGAGAAGTCTGGCAGTTGTGTAAGTGAGTCTTCTAGAGTATCTCTTGGAACAATGCTCAAAATAATTAAGGAACACCCACTCGAGTGACTTCATCGCTTATCGAGCTATTCAATATCGAAGTTGAAGCATGATCTAATACTTTAAGGAACTAGATCAACTGCAATGTAGACTTCCTTGTATCCTGCACATAATGGTGCAATCTTTAGCAAGATCAAAAACAGTAATCGAATTAGATAGCTTCTTAATTGTTTTAATTCTTGTGCATAAAATCTGTCATATCCCTGTAATTATACTGTAATTCGTGCATATTTAGAATATAAGATTATCAATAAAGCCGCAGGAGGATGTTTAATGCAGCTATTTCTGCGGAGCTTAGGGCGAAACATAGCAGACGTTGTTGCTATTGCTTGTAAAATTCATTCAGTGAGATTTCCATGAATCGATCACCTCCTCACTTACTTAGCTTGCGGTACGTTGTGTTTCCTCTGCAGGTCAACGCGCAGCCGTTCGCCAACATGCCTGTAGATGTCTGCTAACGTGTTCATGGCAGTCTCCCGGACTTTTTCGGATGGGTCCGAGAGCAGTTTCACGATACTTGGAATCACGCCCGACAGCATCATTTCGTCCGCGCCATGCCTGTAAAAGGATTTATCGTGGCAATTAAGGAATCAAATTTTTTCCGCTGCTGCAAAGGAATTTGTGATTTCTGGCAAACACACGAAACGATTCCTCTCTGTTCCAATCGCATTACAACGGTATTACTCTGATACCCTTTTTTTTTGCTCTACCGTGATTAAGAAATGCGGAATGCTTTAAAATCTTGGAAGATTTTCCTCTTACACGGACTTAATGATCTTAAATGTGTGCAACAACTCAATTTGTATATTTAATTCTGTATGCTGCTTAAATGATTATTCTAATGATCTTTGAAATACGAGTTTTAATTTGTACAGTGTACAAATATTATATATTTGACTGCTACTTCAGCCAGTGTTTGCTTGCCACTGCTTGCTTCTACATCAACATCTACAAATATTGAATGTGGTGCCTTTCTCAAAGCTGTTCCAGAGGTAAGACAGTTCACGGTAGAAACAACAGTGGTCAGGAATCTTCTTCTCATGTTACAATTCAGGATTCTCTGTACTCTGATTACTACAGCCATAAGATTATAAGACAAGGAATCAATCATTTCTGAGACAAATTAATTGAGCTGTCCGTGTCCCATTGTAAAATTCGATCAGACCAGAAAGGACACTTCATGAGAGGACAATACTTACTCGTTCAGTGTGGTAGTCAGTAGGATTAGGGCTTCTTCCCTCAGCTTGGCGTTTTTATGAACGAAAGCCGGTCGCAATCTGTCCAGGAGCTGTTGGGGCGACATGCAGCCCTTCTCCATGATTTTGAGCAGCACCAGCTGCGCTTTTTCCCGAGTCGCATCTTTGCTGTCTCCTGTGGAAACAAAGAATATCGTGTCACCTAATTAAAGCGGCTAGAGCGTGTAGATCACGGCGGCCGGGGACAGCGCGACACGGGCAAAACTCAAAAGACCGGTTTTCGCAGTATATTTATATCTCGGTCGTAATATCGCGTCTCGTTGAATGCGGTTCTACTTCCGTGCTTTTTTTATCCGGCGCTCTCGGCGACTGAGCGATGAAGTTCAACCGATAAGACGCTCAGAAACTGCTGAAATACGGTTTCGCATACAGGGTGTCTCTGCTGGCTTTATCAGTGACTGTGAACTTTATTTCCTCGAGACTGGTTTGCCAGTTGTTGCGAATTATTGCTAGATTGAGAATCTCTGGCGAGTTTGACGTAATTCTTTTCTCCACCGACAGTAGAGATCAATATAATTTTTTTCTCTGGAAACAGTATTTAATATAATTCTTTTTTTATAGACATTTGATCTAATAGAACATAAACGTGTAGAACCTGTTAATAATATTTTTATGTTACTTTTACTGCAAGCAATCTTTTAATCAGCAGAATTATTTGTCACGTTACTCCGGCTTTTGTAGAATGATCTATGAAAATGGGAACTGGCATAAAGTTCCGCAGCCTAGTAATTAGTCTCATGCAGAAACGGGTGACATTTTTTTCTAGCACTTAGTCTGGAGAATGCTCCAGAACTGAGTGATTTAATGAGTAATACGTGGACCGTGGAACTTCAAGCAAATTCCCATTTTCTGCAGGCGAAGTTAGAGCTTTTATTCCTTTTCCACGTGATCTCAATAATGGAAAATTAAAATAGTAATGAAATTTTTGGACTTCGTGCTTTATAATATTTCTATCACGTTTCTAGGTCGCAAGTGCGTAAGATTTCGCGGTATGGAAATATCTTGTCCTTTCAAAATAAGGCCAAGGCTAGAGGACTAAAAATAATTCTCCAATACCAATCTTAAAGACGACACCAATATTTTACGATTGATGAGTATATTAATGCTGACATAATTCTGATGCCAACCCGTGCACCAAACTGCGTTTTTTCACTGGAATGTGTATGCAGTTATATGCAGTTGGACCAACTAGATCAAAATAATGCCAAATATATACACCGAATAAAAGATTCTCGACATTCTGAACCTTCGTATCCCGAGTTACGTCATTCTTATTTTTTACCGGCTGCTAAGCTATGCATCTTCTAAGACATGCTTTAAGCTCAATTAGCCCACTTAACAAAATGAAAAACCACAATCTGAAACGAAGAAGTCCCACTAGATGAAAATAATTGACCAAAACTGGAAAATTCAGACTTATCGTTGCTACTTTAATCCTTCTAGACATAAAATTCGATTTGCACGAGTATATTGCAATAAAATTAGGTAACTTGGTCACCGCGTTAAAGGGTAGAACGGTAGATCTTTATTCTAGAATCAGTGTCGGAAAACCGACTCGGCTTTACGATATTGTCTCCGATATTATACAGTCCAGGTGGTTTTTTATCGGAGCGTAAGCCGGGGATAGGTATCACCGGCGATAAAGTTACAGGGAGACACACTATATAGGTATCGAGCGAACAGTTTCACAACTAGTTCCCGCGAGCAGCGAACTAAAGCGAAGGATGCCGAAGGTTGCGGGTCGGTTTCCTTTATTAAGAATAATTTATAAACGCATCCGAGACGAAACGAACAGCAAAAGTTCGTGGACACTTACCCAGTCTATCTATCGTCGGCTGAATAATGCTGGAAACGTAGGGCTTGAAGTCGTGGCCCATCCGATCCGCCAGGAACGTGAGGACTTCCAAACCATTCTGTACAACCTGCAACAAGAATCAAGAAATTCTTTCTTTCGTGTTCTTTTTGCTTCGAAGATCGTGCAGCTAGAATCATTATAGAAAAACGATTGTCCTATTTCGCTGAGAAGAACGTTGTACACAGTGTTCTCGATCGAGCAGAGACGATCGAGAATTGCTGGGCAATTTGTTCGGCATAGAAGGCTCTTATGCGGTTTCTATTACGAGAGATCAATTAACACGCTCGCTGCCGGTGTTACATACGCGTCACGACTTTTCGTGGGTGGACGTGCAATCTAGGATATTTGATTTGTCATTAAAGCCTACTGCAGAGGATGTGTGCATCAAACTGGGTGTTCAAGAATTTTTTATCAGACGAGCATTACGAGTAAAACAATTTATACTTCATTATATTATAGTTAACATTTACCAGTTGCGGAGTGTAAAAGAAACATTTGAGGATAATCTAAATTGAAAGACTTTCATTTCGATTAATTTCCGGAAATGTGGAACGACGACAGGAAAATAACGAGAAAAATAAGGATGATCGCATTAAGGGAAAATTAAACAGTGAAAAGAACGATGAGTGCTTGGAAGGTAAAGAGGGTAGAGTTTATAAACTCTAAAATCAAATGAAACTCAACGATGCCGCTTCTAAAAACAAGCAGAAAAATCGTCAGACTTAAAAGAAGCTTTGCGGGGTAAACTGCGGATTTTTATGCAAAAGTTACGAGCGATTTTATGAAACGAAAGGTAGAGATTTATTCCTCGGGGCGAGAATTGAAAGAATGATGACTTGAGGAGCCGCATTAATTAAAATAAAGGAACCTCCGATTTTCCTACAAAGGAGAAATTGTACGCATCGATTTTAAGAAACAGGAGACAAAATCTTGTTTCGTGGGCCGTGAATTAAGAGATTGAAATCGGGAGGGTCGATTAGAAATTCATTAACGGGATGAATTTAAATGTACTACGGGGTTAAAGCACCCCATAGCAGGGGATGTTTATGTCGCAGGGTCCAGCAGCATATTGATCCACGCAAGATAAACTCTGCCGGTGCACTTCCCTTAAACCTGGAAAAAGAAATCGTAGACCCCCTCGCACTTTCCCTCTTGCTCATAATTATGCTTCGTCTGCGAGCCCTCTCCGCGCACTCGTAATGATTACTTCGCAGCGGTTATATTTTTTTCTTGCTACGCGCCGTCATCAACACGTAATTGCGACGGTTTGAGCGAATTACACACGTTCCGACCCCGTGGCTGCGCACACGAAGCCGCTAAAATCCCATAATGCGTGCGATTTACTGTGGCAGGATATTACTGACACGCGAAATGCACCCTCAGACAATGTCACGGCCGGGGCTTGAAAATTATTGGAACGCTATTCTACATATTTTATTTCGCCGGGACAACCTGTTTATTATAGGAATTATAGATGGGGTTAGGGTTAAATGCAAATTGTGGTATATCTAGAAAAAAAAATGTTTCTGTAAAAGTATCATAAAACATCTTGTTAGATTGATCTCAAAGTTTACTAAATTAAAAAAAAATTATTTCCAGCATCGGTAGCAAGCTTCAAGTAAAATGATGGCATGATTCGACTTTGTCGGCCACTTTCCCAGTCTTAGATAATCCTCTTTTCGGTGCAAGCACGGATCAGGAGAACGTGGATCAAGCTGCGGAAAGCAGTGATCCCCTAAATCCGCGATCACTGTCGCTCCTTTCACGACAGGGAGAGAGATCGTGGAATGACCTAGCACGAGAGTTTCGCGATGCCGTTAATGATCAGGCCGTGTGCTAATTATATGGGAGTCAGGACATACAGCACGAGAAAAACGAAAAGCCTCGGCGCTGAGCAATGATGTCACAGCCAGACGGCAGCCCTGAGAGAACGTTTACCCCGCGGCAACTAAAATAGGTTTATACGCCTATGTATAGCGGTTCGTTAAATGTATTTAAACCGTCGTCGCGGAGTAATGGACGGTTTCGCAGACACGTTGACATTGGATCGGCAGCGCACACTTCGGAAACGATTTTTCCCAGCTGACACCCCGTTTCGGTCTGCGGTATCGGATAACGTCGAACGTGGTGGAACTGTTAACTCCAATGTCACGAGCTCATTTTTCCTGACATGTTGTATTAACAATAATATCGATGTTTTATCAGTAGTCCGATTTCTTTGCCTTCAACAGAAGTTTTCGATAAAAATTGTAGAATTAAATGCAGATAGAGAGTTAGAGCATTTATGGTAAACTTCAAAATAACAGGAAAATTACAAGAATTTAACATTATTTTCAACCTATTAAAATTTGTTCTAAAAAGGAAGAGCTTTGGTGTCTACTTCTTGCAAGTTGAAGTTTTTGATTTAGCGTAAAGATCCTAATCAGTCTACTGATAACAATTATGTATAATAACTATGTAAAAATTGTATGCCTGCATAAGAACAAAATAGGTATGTAATTGAACTTTGATTCAGTAGTGGTTCAATTTATCTGAAACAATATTTATAGCTGAACAAAGTGGTGTTTATTAATATTGTAGCGAACGTGTGGTTGAACTGAGGGTGGCAACAAGGTTGATTTAACTCTCGTTATAGCTCAAGCCTTAAGGAAAGAAGGATCGGCGAGCTTCCTCCGAGCTAGGGGTGGAACCGACGATAAATGCACCACCCAACGCTACACTTGCACTTTCTATATTGATCTGG